CGGATGCCATGGTCCTTGACGATGAGGTCCCTCTGCATGGCCTGGAAGAGGGAGATCTGCTCCCCAGTGTAGGGGTCCCTGTAACCAGTGACAGCACGCTCAGCTGACAGCAGTTTCTCTTGGACCTCGCCACCCACCACGCCTGCTGCCACGGCCTCCTCCACAGACATTCTGCGGTCATGCACTGGATCGATGATGAATCCAGTGGCCGCCTGAGCCTCCAGCAGTACCAGGGCTGTCCCAGGCCTCAGCAAGCCCTTCCACATGGCCTGGTAGATGCTCATCTTCTGCTGACGGCCAGGCTCTCCCTGGACGGGCACCAGGACACCCGCAATGCAGCTGGTGCCCTTGAGGTATTTTTTTACATCTTCATTTCTTTCGATCTGGTCTACTGTGGTTCTTCCTTCCTCCAGGTCCTTCAGAGTCTGTCTTGTGATGACAGCTGAGCTGAGCAATTCCTCTGCTGTGACCTGGGTTCGTAGTCCTCGGAACCAGAGCTGCCTGTTTTTTCCTTCCTTCTGTGCAATCATTTGCAGGATAACTTCTACCACTTTCTTCAGGGCCCGGGCTGTGTTCTCTTTGTACAACTTCACCAGTTCAATCTTTTTCTCCTCTGACACATACTCCGAGTTCAGCAGCTCCCACACTGATCGCCTCTGCCCTCTGTACCTCCCCACCGTCACCTCCACCTGCTCTGCCTCCAGAGCCCTTCTGGTGGCCTCGTCAACATACTCCATGTCCTTTTTGTCCTTGACCACTGGGAACAGAGCCCAGCCTGACTTCTCCTCCCTCTGGCACCTGTCCTGGAGCTGCTGGTACGTGACCTTCTCCTGGGTGTTGGGATCCACAAACCTTTTCCTCATGAGCTTCTGATCAGCTATGAGTACCACTGTGTCATCACCCAGACAGCCGCGCCTGCAGGCCGTGTCCAAGGGGACTCGGTGGTGGTGGGCAGGGTCAATGACCCCGCCTGTGGCCACCTGTACCTCCAGCAGCCTCAGGGCCTCCTCCCTCCTAACCAACTTCTTCTCCATGGCCTGGAAGAGTGGGATGGTCTCCCCTGTGGCTGGGTCTTTGTAGCCCTTAGCTGCCTTCTCGGCATTCAAAAGCCTTTCTCTCAGGTCTTCGCCCACCAGGCCAGCTGCTATGGCCTCGTCCACCCCCAGCCTCTGGTGGCTGCGGGGGTCCATGAGATACCCAGTAGCAGCCTGCGCCTCCAGCAACTGGGCTGCAAATCCTGCTGGGATGAGTTCTTCCTTGCTGGCCTCATAGAAGCTCATTACCTCCTGGGTGAGGGGTGCCGTCACCCCAGCAATGCAGCTGCTGCCTTCCAGGTAGGGCTTGACCTGCTCCAGCTGGCGGAGATCCCGGCACCCTCTGTCTCCACTGTGCAGCCCATCCAGGGTCTTCTTATCAAGGATCCCAGAGTTGAACAGTTCCGCAGCGGTCACGTCACCATGGATGCCTGCCACCTTGAATACTTGGTTTTGCTTCTCTGTTTCTTCCACGGTGGTGGTGATAACCTCCAGCAGTTCCTCTAGGCTTTTGTTCTGGGCTCTGTACTCCTGCAAAAGCTTCCTTTTCCTTCCTTCTGTGAAGTACTGTGACGACAGCAGGTCCCACACAGACACCGTCTGGCCTGCAAACTTCCCGACGTACATTTCCACGGTTCTGGATCGCAGAGCTTGTCTTGTGGCCTCGTCAACATACGCATAGTTTTCTCCCTTCTTTACAATTTCCAACATGTACAGGCCCGTCTCGGGGTCCTCCACACAGCGCTCCAGCAGCTGCAGGTAGGTGAGGTTCTCGTGCGTGTTGGGGTCGAAGAAGCCCTTGGTGTCATCACTCGGGTCAGCCAAGATGCGGTTCATCTCCTCATCGAAGTAGCCACGCTGGTAGGCCACGTCCACGGGCACACGGTGGCTGTGTACGGGGTCGATGATGCCACCCGTGGCAATCTGGGCCTCCAGCAGGCGGATGCCATGGTCCCTGACGATGAGCTCCCTCTGCATGGCCTGGAAGAGGGAGATCTGCTCCCCAGTGTAGGGGTCTGTGTAGCCGGTGACAGCGCGCTCAGCGGACAGCAGCTTCATATAGGTTTCCTTGCCAAACATCCCTGCCTGGAAGGCCTGCTCTACCGTTAGCTTCCGGTTCTCCACAGGGTCGATGATGTAACCGGTGGCTGCCTGGGCCTCTAGCAGCACCAGGGCTGTGCCTGGCCTCAGAATGTGCCTTCTCAAGGCCTCTGGGATACTCATCTTCTCTTTTGTACCCCGAATAAGGACCCCAGCGATGAAGTTGCCACCTTCCAGGGACCTCTTCACACTGTCCATCTCTGTCACCTCCTGGACCGTCCTCTTCCCCTGATTGAGCTCATCCAGCGTCTGCTTGTTGATCAGCTGGGACCTAAACAAGTCCCCAGCTGAAACCTGTTTCCGGAGCCCTTTGAAGGTGGCCTGTGGGGGCTGCTTCTCCGCAGCCTCCACCAGAGTGGTGACCATGCTGATGACCTGCCGCAGGGCAGCAGCCCGCCCGGAACAACAAAGTGCCACCAGTTCCCGCCGCTTTTCAGCTCCAACATACTCAGAGTGTAGCAGGTCCCAGAGGGACACGCTGTGTCCTTGGAACCTCCCCATGCTGATGGGCACCTTCATCGCCCTCAGCGCCACTGCGGTGTGGTCGTCCACCTCGAGCACAGTCTCCTGGGGCAGTGGTAGCAGCCACAGGCCAGTGTCAGCATCCAGCACGCAGAGTCCCTTGAGCTGCTGGTACGTCACCTTTTCCCGGGCGTTGGGATCAAAGAAGAGCTTGTTTTCCTCCTCAGGGGCAGTCAGCACCCGGCTTGTCTGCTCATCCAGGAGGCCAAGCTTGCAGGCCACTGCCTGGGGCAGGTGCACTCCATGGACAGGGTCCACAACACCCCCCGTGGCCAGCTGGACTTGTAGGAGAGGAAAGGCCTCACTCTTGGGGACAAGTCCCTTCTCCATGGCCTGCCATAGAGAAAGGGAGCCTCCCGAGTAAGGGTCTGAGTATCCTGTGACAGCTCTCTCTGCCTGCTGAAGCTGTTCACTCAGCTCCCGGCCTACCAGGCCGGCCTTCACTGCACCCTCCACTGACAATATCTGGTTGGTTAGTGGGTTGACGAGGAAGCCAGATGCCACTTGGGCCTCCAGCAGCTGCTGGCCCAGGCCTGTGGGCAGGAGGCCATCCCTTACAGCCTGGGCAATGCTCAACTTGGTCCCCGAGGGCTGCAGAAGCACACCGGCCACACAGCCTGTGCCCCAGAGGCAGGCCTTCAGAGCAGGCTGTTTGGCTACCTCGGCAGGTGATTCTATGCCCTGGGCCAATGCTTCCAGTGTCTCTTGAGTAATAATACCAGTATCTCGTAGCCAAATGGCAGGGACCTCACCCCGTGGGCCTGGCACAGTGATGCGGGCCTGGGCCAGGAGCTTTGCTTCGTGCACCCAGCTTTGCACGGTGTCCTGTAGCTGTGACACTGACATCTTCCCAACCCTCACATCCTCAAGGAAGCCCTTCCGCTGTTCCTCGGTAAAGTGGCAAGAGGTAAGCAGATCCCAGAGGGACAAACCATCCTCAGTGCCAGCTGATGCTTGCAGGGTCTCCTGGATCTCTGTGTCAGTGGGGATAACAGGAGCATCTTCCGTCAGGGGCAGGAGGTGAAGCCCGGAGGCTTTATCCTGGAGACACTGTTGCAGAAGCTGGGCGTAACTGGTGTGTCCCCGGCCATCAGGGGTGGGAAAGGTCTCAGGAGAGCTGGACAAGGCCACCTCCATCTCTTGATCAAGGCAGCCACGCTCGACTGCCACGGGCATGGGGAGGTGGAGGTGGGTTGTGGGGTCAATGACTCCTCCTGTGGACACCTGGGCCTCTAACAGGCGGGTTGCCTGCTCCATAGGAACAAGGCCCTTCTTCATGGCCCTGAACAGGGGCACCTTTTTTCCAGAAAAGGGGTCTCTGTAGCCAGTGATAGACTGCTCTGCCCGCTTCAGCTTGCCATATACCTCTGCCCCCACCACTCCCCTGCTCACAGCCTCATCTACTGACAGGGTCTCCATACCGCAGGGGTCTGTGATGGCTCCGGTGGCCGCTTGGGCCTCCAGCAAGGCCAGTGCTACACCAGGGGCCAGCAGCTTCTGCTTCATGGCCTGGTAGAGACTGACCCGCTGGTTGGAGGGCTGTAGCAGCACACCGCCCACGGTGCCTGAGCCCTGAAGGGACCTGTGAACATCATCCCTGTGAAGGAGGGAATCTGGGCTGAGCGCCCCGGTCAGCACCTGGTCCAGGAGCTCCTGGGTGATGATGCGGGCTTCAAAGAGCTGGTAGGCAGTGACCTGGCCCCTCAGTGCGGGCAACGTGACATCCGCCCACCTCTTCATCTCTTTCTCCAGCAGCTGAGCGACCTGCTCCAGGGTGACCTTGCGCTGCCGATAACGCCGCAGCAGCTGCCTCCTCTGGTCCTCTCTGAAGTATTCCGAGTTAATGAGCTCCCATGCAGACACTCGCTGCCCCCGGAACCGTCCGTATTTCACAGAGAGCAGTAGGTTCTGGAGGGCCTGCCGAGTGGAGCTATCTACCAGCTGGGGCCGTGTGCTGCTAAGCGGCAGGAGGTGCAGGCCCGTCTCGGAGTCGTGTACACAGCGCTCCAGCAGCTGCAGGTAGGTGAGGTTCTCGTGCGTGTTGGGGTCGAAGAAGCCCTTGGTGTCATCAGATGGGTCCAACAGGATAGAGTTCAGCATCTGATCGAAGTAGCCGCGCTGGTAGGCCACCTCCACGGGCACACGGTGGCTGTGCACAGGGTCGATGACACCACCGGTGGCGATCTGGGCCTCCAGCAGGCGGATGCCATGGTCTTTGACAATAAGCTCCCTCTGCATGGCCTGGAAGAGGGAGATCTGCTCCCCAGAGTAGGGGTCCGTGTAGCCGGTGACAGCGCGCTCAGCGGACAGCAGCTTTGCATATACATCAGGTCCGATGACACCAGCCCTTAGTGCCTCCTCCACAGAGTATCTCTTGTTCTCTTTTGGGTCAATGATAAAGCCTGTGGCGGCCTGGGCCTCAAGCAAGATCAGGGCAGTACCGGGTCTGAGGAGCCCCTTGCTACGGGCCTCATAGATACTGAGGCGTTCCTGGGAGTCAGGTAGCAGTAGACCTGCAATGCATCCTGTGCCCTGCAGGTACCTCTGCACCGAGTCCAGGCTGCCCACATCCTGGGCTGAGGTCTGTCCTCGTTCCAGCTGCTCAAACAGGTCCTGGTTGATTATCTCAGCCTCCAACAGGTCTCCCGGGGTCACCGTGTCCCTCAACCCAGCAAAGGTGACTTTGGCAGTGGCTGCGGCCTGCTCAACAATGGCCTTCAGCTCAGCGGCCAGCGCCTCCACTGACAGGGCCCCTTTCTGGAACTGCTGGGCAAGCATTGCCCTCTGTTTAACGGGCACTGCCTCAGAAAAGAGCACTTCCCAGAGGGATACAGGCCGGCCCTGGAACCTCCCTACAGAGACAGAGGTTGTGGCCTTGCTCAAGGCCTGTCGAGTACAGTGATCAATAAATGTGGGTCCCTGGGGTTCCTTTGCATGGGGCTCTCCAGGGAGAGGCAGGAAAGCCAGCCCCGTCTCTGGGTCAGTGACAGAGCGGGCCAACAGCTGTTCATAGCGAAGGCTGTCATGTGTGGTGGGATCTGAAAAGCTCATTGCCTGAGAGAGACGTTGCTGAGTCTCTTCATCCAGGCAGCCAAAGCGCAGGGCAGCCTCCAGGGGCAGCCGGAATCTGCGGGCGGGGCATACAAGCCCACCTGTGGCCAGCTGGGCGTCCAGGAGGCGCAGAGCCAGCGGCTGGTCCACAAGCTCCTTCTTCATTGCCTGGAAGAGGGGGATGCGGGAGCCGCTGAAGGGGTCGCAATACCCAGTTACTGCCTGCTCTGCAACCAGGAGCTGCTCATGGAGTTCTGGGCCAACCAGACCTTCCCTAACTGCCTCTTCCACCCACAGTCGCTGACCTGTGGCGGGGTGCACAAGGGTGCGGGTAGCGGCCTGAGCCTCTAAGAGTTGTAGTGCAATGCTCTTGGAGAGCAAGTGTTCCCCTGCAGCCTGGAAGAAGCTCTTCTTGTGGCCTCCAGGCAGCAGGACAACCCCGGCCAACCCTCCAACGCCCTCCAGATAGCGTTGCACCTCTGGGCGTGTGCCCACATCTGACACCACCAGTGTGCCCTCCTGCAGGCCGCGGACTGTCTCCTCATCCAGTACTCCTGCCTCCAGCAGCATGGAGGCGCTGGCTGCTCCCCCCAGGGTGTGGAAGGTGGTCTTCAAGGGCAATAGGAGCAGCCCTGAGCTGGGGTCTTGCACACACCTACCCAACAGCATGCTGTATGGCAGCTGTTCCAGGGTATTGGGGTCAAGAAAACCTGGGGCATCCATGCTGGGCTCTGACTCCACCAGGCTGAGCCATGTCTCCTTGTCTAAAAGGCCCTGCTGGCAGGCTACCTCTGGGGGCACTCGTACACCTTGGGTTGGGTCCACCAGGCCCCCAGTAGCTAATTGGGCCTCCAGCCATCTCCTCCCCAGGGTCTTATCCACAATTTCCTTCCTGATGGCCTGGAAGAGGGCCAGCTTTCCACCCCCATAGGGGTCAGGATAGCCAGTAACTGCACGCTCAGCAGCCAACAATTTCTCCTTTAGCTCCAGTCCCACCAGACCCTGCCTTAGGGCCTCAGACACAGGAAGCATCTGGCCCTGGGCGAGGTCCACAAGGCCCCCAGTGGCTGCCTGGGATTCAAGCAAGGCCAGCCCAAGCCCAGTAGGCAGGAGGCCCTGCTTCATGGCATCATAGAAGCTCTGGGTCTGCCCTGAGGCCTCCACGTACACCCCAGCAATACTTCCGGCTGTGGTAGGTGGGGCAGCCTCTGCTTGGGGCCTGGAATGGGTGCCGGCTCCCAACTGGTGCTTCATGATTTTAGGGGCAATGGGCTGCTCAATGCCGTTGGCAATCACGACATCACGGGGAGGGGGTTGGCCGTTCATCACGGACAACTGGTGAGTGCAGAACTTGCTGAAGGTTCACGTGTGACCTGTAGGGAAAAGAAAGACTCAGTCAGGGACCCTGAGCGGCTGGGCAGGTGGGAAAGATATGGTTATGGGAATCAGGCACAGGTCCATTTAAACTGAGAGAGTCCCGAATCCACGTCCAGATGTGAGGACGGGAGGACCCCTGAGCAGCCACAGAGGTCCATGGTAGCCAAGGGCCTTCCAAGGGCATGAGCAACTCTCATTGTTGGGGGGAGAACATCCAGACCTGTAAGTCCCTTCAAGAGGGATTAAGCCAGGCTGCCCAAAGAACTCAGTATGGTCACAGTTTTGAGATCAGGCTGTGCCCTACTTTGAAGTTACACCATATTGTACAAAACAGTGTTTTGTTTTTTTTCAGGTTGTGCCTTGCCCTAGGAGACTCCATTTTACAATTTGGCTTTTGCCATTTTGAGGGAAGCAGATTGCAGGCCCTGGGCGGATCCACAAACAGCACCATCTGTCTGTCAGGCACAGACTGGAATGACTTATTCCTGGGAGTAGAAAGGAAGGCACCTTGTAAATTTACCAGAGTGAACTGAGACTCTAGGCACACACGGGTATATTAAAACCATAGCAGGGAAACCAGGCCCAAGAACTTATCAGACACACCACTCTGAGAAAAGGGTATAATTCCCTCACCCAGGTCCCACAAAGCGATGGGCGCCTAACACTGTGACGACCTGGCCTCACATCAACCAGTCACTGGATATCAAGGACCGGCAAGCAGAGGATGCCCCAACTGTGGCTGCAGCTTTGGCTTGGCTCCACCCTCTGTCGTGGATGCGCCCTACTTGACTCCGTGCCCATCCATCTTTTTGTCCCTCAGGACCCAGACCTGAACCTGCCATTTCCTGGTTTTGGACCCTGCCTTGGCCTTTCCCCTTGCTGACTCGACAGCTTTGTTCTCAAACCCTGCCTACAGCAGGCTCCCGCCTGGTCTCATTTGGCATCTTATCGATAGACTCTCAGAACTTGGGGGACTCTCTCTGAATCCAGCTGCAGCCCCTTTATCTTGCATTCGCTCTCTAAACCACACATATACGTATAAATACATAAAGAGATTTACTTCGTGCTGGGTGACAGGCGATAAAAGTTGCTTTAGCAACTAAGATCGGAGTATCTTGATTGCCTCCACCTTGGCCAGATTGTGGAGTCAGTGGGATTATAGGGCAAATTCTTTGCATTTTGAAACTGCTGAGCCTTGTGGAATTTGTTGTCATTCACTAAATTTTGACATTGTAGAAAGACACAGACATGTTTGTCCACATTTCTGGCATAGTGTCCTCATAACACACAGGGACCTGAGGTCAGCCAGGAGCTCTACTCTCAGGACTCCCTGTGGATCATCTGGCCTCTACTCCAAGCCTCCAGGCTTCTAGTGCATAGGTCTTGGGGCCTTCCTAGTCACCCTCTTCCCCAGCCCTGCCTTAAACTCAGATGTGTGTTGGATCTTCATGCCTGCATGTGTCCTGGGTCACTTGGATCCAGACCTCTAAGCGTCTGCCAAGGCTTAGGGTTTTGAGCTGGGCTGAATTGATTGCCCAGAAAGGCAACTCAAAGTCCTAACCTGCTGGACACAACTGTAACCTTATTTGGAAGCAGGATCTCTGTGGATGTAACTAAGATGAGATCATCCTGGAGCCCTGCTGGCCCCAATCCAATGCACCTGGCATCTCTAGACGATGGCAGACTTGCTCAGGGAGAAGACAACCACCCTGTAAACGGAGCCTGTGCACTGTGCGCTCTTAGTCCACAGCCTCAGCACTGCCAGAACATTCTCTCTGCTTAGGAGTTCGTCCAGGCTGGTCCTTGCATGAACTTTGGGAGGGGCCTGTCTACCCCTCCCCAACCAAACACACATTGGTAATGTGGAACTTAACAGACTCTGAATCTGTCACTGAGGTCAGATTCCTCCTGTAACAAGATTCTGCTCTGTCCTCATGTGACCAACGAATCAAGAGATTCTTGGCCTGTCCTTGGACAGCTGGCTGTCGCTTGAGCCAGTCAGTCCTAAAGTCTCAGCCTGTTCTGTGTCCCTCTGGACACAGATCATCTAGTGCCCTTACACATCACCGCCCCCCCCCCCACACACACACTCTGTTCTTTAAGATGCTTCAATGGGTACAGCTGCCTGCTGGCTGCCCACTGGTCCATCTCACACCCATCTAAGTCCTCATGGCTTTGCCACGGCACCTCAAAGCTCATCCGGTCACTTCTCAGGCAGACTTCCTGCTCCTGTGGCCCAGGATTCTGCACCATGCACACAGGAACCCTCCATGTTATCATCAGCTACCTTCAAAGTTCCTCACCAATGTCTACACCACACACGAAATGGAGAAGACAGGGAAATGGGAGCAAGGTTGACGGGGTGGGCAGCATGGCCAAGGCGGGTGCACAGCCTATCCTGTGGATGATAAGTCAGGCTTTGAGATCACATGATTCGGTAGAATAGACACTGTCCAGCTTAGGGAGGCTTATGGGCAGATGGTCCCTCTAATCCCTTCGAGAATTGCCCTACCTGAGGGCCTGTGACAGGTTCAGCCCCTTGACTTGATTTGGGGGAGACTCTGCAGGCTATCAAGTCATGGCCCTTAGGGTTACTACTGAGATGGCATTCCAGCCACAGCTTTGGTAAAATGCCACTCTTCATTCCCTCCCTCAGGCTGGTCCTGAGCCTTCTGGGGTCGGGTAGGTATCCTAGTGCCAAGCTGCTGCTCAGAGTCTCAGGCCTCAGGCCTCCAACCAGGCAGATACCCAGACAGGGTCAGCAGTGCCCACCACCAACCTGCAGCAGAGCAGCCAGAGACCAGGCTGCCAGCATCGGGGCCACCGTTCAGCTCTTCAGGGGTGGGAGGTGTTTTCAGGGTGCAGTGTGGAGCAAGGAACAAGGGGTAAGATCACGAAAGACGGGGAGTGACCAGTTGGACAGCGGTGGAGGAAGACCCAGGCAGCTACATTGTTAGGGGCCCCAAATGAGACCAGTAAACCTCAACACGGCAGAACCCTTTGCCAAGGATACGTCCTGAGGCAGGGTGGTCAGGGCTCTAACGTGGGATGAATGTCTTGATTAATACATCCTAAACTCAAACCCATAGATTCCCTGGATGCCCATGAACTGTGAGAGAGTTCCTCCTCACAGTCAGTCTACATCCTGCAGTGGCCAATGCCTCCTGCCTCCCACAACTTAGCCTAGGGGTCCGAAAGGAGGTCCAGGAACCAACCCAAGAGGGTGGCAGGGGATGAGCTAAGAATCAGATTGGCCAGGGAAGGGTTTCCCAGAACAGGGGACAGACAGAACACAGTGGTAAGGACCCTTGGACGCATAAACCTTTACCAGGCTGACTCGGAAGCCCGTGGAAAGCTGTGCTTCTCTAAAGAAAGCAACCCAGGCTTTGGCAGTGTGCTTGTAGCAGAGACTGACCCCAGGGCTCCCAGGCTCGCCTTGACTTATCCATTAGGAAGGAAGTAGTAGGGGGCCCGCACACAGGACAACAAAATCCAGGTGCTGATGATGACCTGAGGAGTCTGAGGAGGGGCAGTCAGATGGGTCCAGCCACACAGAGTCCCAGAAAGAGCTAGAAGATCAGGTATCCCTAGACCAGGTGAAGGGGCTATCGACAGACTCATGAGTGAGTAAGATCCCAAATCCAGTGCCTGGGGTACAGCTGCCACCAGCCTCCAACTCCTGGACAAGAATGGACATCAAGTGAAATGGGTGTAAGGTCAGGCCAACTCTGGTGGAGGGGAGGTCACTCACTGACCATGCTTTGACAGTGACGTGGACCCTAGGACACCCACCAGCTCCTACAGCCTGAGAGTACTAGGGCCTCGTATCAGCCTGGGGTGGCCACAGGGCTACTTTATGGTTGTCTCATGTCTTTAGGGAGAATAAATTAAGGAGTTCCTTGGCCATGGAGGATGAGGTAAGCCTCATGGAGGGGGAAAGCCAAGAGGACAGTAGAACTGGCCATGGCTCTTTTCACTGTCCAACAGAAGCTGTGGCAGACAGGGTGTAGGGACAGCTGCTAAAGGCACAGCCTAGACCCTGGCTCCCAGGTGACACCCTGCTGTCTAGGCACCATCCCTAGGACATAGTATTTCTGTTCTAACAATTTATTTTATTTCATGTGCATTGGTGTTTTGCCTGCATGTATGTCTGTGTGAGCGTGTTGGGTCCCCTGGAACTGGAGTTACAGACAGTTGTGAACTGCCATGTGGGTGCTGGGAATTGAACCCGGGTCCTCCAGAAGAGCAATCAGTGCTCTTAACCACTGAGCCATCTCCCCAGTCCCAGTATTTCTATTCTAAAACATAGATCTCCCTAGTGCTGGGTCCCAGAAGAGCTGCTCCGGCCCAGGAAGCAAGGCCTAGGAACAGTGGCCTACTCCCTGGGAAAGTGAGTTCCAGGGTCCATAGAAAAAGGAACACTTGTGAGGGCAGACCTGACTGGCAGGGGAGAGGGGCCACTACACCATGGATGTAGCGGTCCTCGTTGCCACGTGGCGGCTGACAATAAATGAGAGTATACAGCTACTCTGGCCAAAGAGAAGACTCCCAGCGAAGAGGGTCTGGATGCCCCAGTGACCCCAACCAAACGGTTGCAGTGAGTCAATGGTATTTTTTTTTCTAGATGATTGGAAGAGATAACAAATGCCCAGCATGGCCTGAAAGCCACAACAGGACCAGGCCCATCCCACAGACTTTCTCCTCCTGCACTTCCTCAAGAAGGCACCCAATGGCATCGGAGGGACTGGTCCTGAGGCACAGTGTGACCATGGTAGACACAGGGGACAAGTTAGACAACACAGCAGGACCAGCCTCTCCCACCAACTTGCCTCCTGTCCCCTCCACGGCCGTGTCCTGAGACCACCCTTAATGACTCATCCCAGACTCTGCTTCGCAACATGGCTTTAAGGTACCTTTGTCGCCCACCTACGAAGCACTGAGTTGGAGGAAACCATGCATGTGCTGCCCAGGACAGGGAAGAGCACAGGGAGAGGCCCACGGGTGGTAGAGCCTGGGTCCCTGTCCCTTGACATGTGGCTGGATGAAGGGGGGAATCCAGGACAAGCCGTTTGCTGGCCAGCAAAGGTGGGACACAGAACCTTAGGGCGGTAGAAGACACAGAAACTGCCAGACAGGCATGGTCTTGAGTGGCTCCTGACCTGGTCACGGACAGCCAGCCCTAACAAGCATGCTCTGTGCGGAAGGGCAAGGCCCCGTGTGAAAAGCCAACACAAGCTTAAGCAAGCCGCTCGAGTTCACTGAACAAAGAGGAGATTCAGGGTGGGAAGCCACTGACAAAGATCCAGAGAGCGAGGACTCTGGGGAAGGGGTGGGGCCCAGAGACTGAGTCCTGGTGTGTGAGATGCAGCCTGTGGTTGGCAGCCACTCCCTGTTGGCTTGTGGGTGACCTTGGACCTGGTATGACTCTCCCTGGGCCCTGCCCCTTTCCAGGAGGGTAGGGGAGTAGACACTTGGCAACCGCAGTGGTTGCCTGGGAAGACAACCAGATATATGGGTCAAGAATTTGAGGGGTATACAGAGCTCCATCAAGAAGGGCAAGAGATCCAGGAAGTGTCAATAAAAGCAAAGGATCGGGGTCCCAGGTCTGTGACTGTAGTCGAAGTCCCCAAAAACTCCCCTGGCAAAAAGAGCTGTAAGTCCTTCCTGCCTCCCTAGAGGCCCACCACAGGCTACCCCAGCTGCCGAGAGGAAAAAGGGTCATTTCTGAGCCGGGTGGGGCAGCATCCCAGGGGCATCAGATACCACCTGTCACCACACTGAAGGGTGGGCTCTGCCCCCAGGCCATGACAAAGATAGGCACAAGGTCCTCCTCCTGCTGCTGCTGCTGCTGCACTGAGCTAGATCAGAAGAGAATGAGGAGGCCGGGCAGACTCAGCCCAGCGCACATGGCGACAGAAAACGTGGCCTCTGCCCCACTGTGAGCAGCACGAGGAAGGACATCAACTGTACCTTGCCCGAAAGACAGACGGCAACGACCCTGCGCAAGCTTGGCGTGAGAAGCGAGTGTGTGTGTGTGTGTGGGGGGGTAGGAACACAGCCCTGCCTCTTCTTCCCAGGGTCCTGATACCACCACCCAAGGGGCCATCCCTGTGGCTGCTCACCCTGGACAGCTGGTAGCTCCTCCTGGAGCCCGCATGGCCTCCCTCAGCCAATCAGGGCTGCCAGGAGCCTCTAGGTGGTCAGACCAATTGCCTCTCATAGGATTCCCCACCACTAACCTCACTTCTCGCAAAAGGGGTACAAGGAGTACCCCACCTTGCAGGGCGAAACAGCACACTACGTATTCTGCTGGAAACACTAGACACTCCCCCGCCACACACACACACACACACACACACACACACACACACACACACACACACGCCCCGACTTCACAGCAGCCTGGCAAGGGCCTCAGTTTCCCCACCCCAAGGGCTCAGGGGCTTCCCACCTCTAATCCTGAGCTCAGATTGCCCAGAAGTCTGGGCCCCTGGGTCGCTCACTATGTCTGCCTGGGGGGCCGCTGGCCTCTGGCTCCCGCAGGTGTTTCAGTTTCGTTTCCCCAACCTGCCCTTATTTTTCCCCACCTGCTGCGTGTGACAAGGGCTGGTGCGGCGGCGTCCGCGGTCTCTCTGCTCCCTCCACACCCGAGCCCCGCGCCACAGGCATTTAAATCTGCGTGGCCCCTCCTTATGGTGACCCAAGTCCCTTCCCCATTGAGGGCGGTGGGCGGGGCTGAGGCCCGGCTGGGCACGGACCAGACAGGTGGAGTGGGCAGGTGAGCGCGAACCATGGCACGGGGCGGGGCTCCCTCTGAGCGGCTCCTGCTGGAGAGGCTGCTGAGTTGCGAAGTCCCTCCCCTCCCTCCCTCCCTCCGCGAAAGTCACTGAACAAGAATTCAGGGCAGGCGCGGGTGGGGGTGGGGAGCCACCGGCTTCGGCCCTGTGGCTTTTGAATGGAGTTTGCAAGGGAAATGAAGGCCCACCGGAGAGAGTTTCAGTTCCCCAAACTCCGCTTTTATTGCTGAGGGCGCAAAGCCACAACCCCGCCCCGGGTGGCCCCCAGCTCCTGCTCAGTCCCTGAACGAGTTCTGCCGCTGTTTCTTGTCCCGGTCTGCGGGATCTTGGAGTCTTCGCCGTTTCTCCTCAGTGGGCTGCTCCGAGTGTTTGACCTTGTAGGAGCTGGGGTCTCTGTGTTCTCTGCCAATCGGCAGCCCTGTCTGAAAGGGGTGGCCAGGCTTCCTCAGTTCAGTTACTCCACCTGGGCTCAAAGGAGGTCCTCAGTCCATCGCGAGGACCTGATTCCTAGCTCCGAAGCCCATGCTAGCTCTCACCTTCCGAGACAGGGGTCTGCTGGAGCCCATTCGGATGGAGGTCCAGAGCCTCAGGGTAATGACTTCAGGGGCCGGCACACTAGGAGTCCAGCACAGGAATCTTTCGTGGATCTTCTGGCTGGTCCTCCCCTTGGCTGCTCAGAGATCCCAGGTCGCTGGGCCGAAGCGGATGCCAAACCGCTCCTACCCACCACCCACCTCCAGGCCCTGACGACTGGCATGTCCCTTCCTCTCCCCGCATCTCTCACCTCTGACTGGGTCATTTTTGATCAAAAATTCATCCAGAGCTGCCCAGCCACCTCCAACACGAACCATCAAAGCTCCTCTTGCCGCCTGTGGAGAACAGGGGTGTCTGGCCTTCCGTGTAGGGGTTGGGGGGCAGTTCCTGAGGCTCTGTCCTCCCCACTATCACCGGCCCACACTCACACCTGCTCACCAAGGCTCCTTGGACCTGGGGCCTGCCTCCGGCCACTGGTGTCCGTGTGCCTTCCGTGTTCCTGGCTCTGACCATGCTGTGTGGCTGCTTCTGGCCATTGGGGAGCCCTGGCTCCAACACGGCCGGGCGCTGGTGGTCAGGCCCACCTTTCCCCCAGGTATAGCCAGGCCAGCCTTGCCCATCCCTGTCCCGCTGCCCAGCTGCCGGGAAACTGTCCACAAGCTCCTACTGGGGAAAGTTTGAGTGCTGTCTGTGGCTTGGGGTGTGAAGGACACCCTGGGCCACTTTATTCCATGACCAAGGCAATATAGGTGGCGCTCCCACAAGACCCAAGGGTATGTTGGCCCCTTGCTGTGAGGTGACGCCAAGTCCCCCCCCCCTTTTTTTTTTTTTTTTTTTTTTTGGTTTTTCGAGACAGGGTTTCTCTGTGTAGCTTTGCGCCTTTTCCTGGGACTCACTTGGTAGCCCAGGCTGGCCTCGAACTCACAGAGATCCGCCTGCCTCTGCCTCCCGAGTGCTGGGATTAAAGGCGTGCGCCACCACCGCCCGGCTCGCCAAATCCCTTTTACATGCCCAGGAGTGAAGAGAGTATGTATCTGTCTGCCCTTACCTGTTCCTGGTGGCCCTGTTCCATCAGTTCCCACTGGTCCCTTTTCTCCTGGTTCCTCTTGCTATGCTCTGGCTTCCTATGGCTCCAGTTCTCCATGATGACGTCTGCCCACCAAGGCCTCCAGCTCTGTTCTTCTGAAATCTTCCCCAGGAGGCAAGCCTTAGCTCTACTCCCCAGATCCCCAGGCGGCCCCTGGTCAAGACTGCTCAGAGTCAGTACCTCCCTTGGGGCTTGAGTCCAGCAGCATTTCAGGCTCAGGGCCCCAGGCATCTCCTCTAGCACCCAGCTCTGGGCTTGTACCGCCTACGTATTAGGGAGCAATGTTAGGGGACCAGAGGAGCCCATGCCCAAAACTGCCCACCACGCCACCACCTCTCCTGAGTCAGTGCCCCCATCCTCCAGAGCCTCTCAGCAGTCCCACCCAGAACTTTAGGCCTTCCAGCTAGCTCCTCCTAGAGATCAAATGGTCTCACTGAGGCAGTGGCCCTAGGACAGAGGGTCCAGGGCACTAACGCCAGTGTCATTAAGCTAACCCTGGCCTGGTCCACAGTTACTGCACAGGCCAAAGCCTCTGGCCACTGGTCCCACCTTGGCCCCCAAGGGTTCAGCCTGGCTCAGCCTATGGGAGCACGAGATCAGCTTCTCAACAAGGTGGCCCACAAGCAGCAGCATCCCTCCCAGGGGATGTATCCTGGAGAAGAGATGGACAGATATAAGCAGGGTAGCGGGCCAGTGTGAGTGGGGTGCGGACAGCTGGCATGCAGGCTCACCTCTCACAGGAGGGGCTAGACATGGCAGCCCGGCAGCCCAGCAGGTCCATCAGCAGGCCCAAGTGGCAGGTGCTCCCATAGCCAGCGTCTCCGCTTCTCCGTGGCCATGACACCACCAGGGTTTGCTGTCCCCAGAGGAACTCCTGCCATCAGAGTAGCCTGGTGTACGGTTGGCTCTCCCAGTGGGAAAAGCTGAAGGGGTGAAAGCTTTTTTCCTCTGTGTACCTCACATCTCCAGCCCTCTTCTTACTCCATTCACCCTGTACCCCACACCGCCCAGCACATTAGCAAGAAGACTGTATATGCTGGCCCAGTCCTTCTACCCCTGGGCCTCTTCAGTATGAGGAGGGCAGGCAGCCACACCCAGCGTTGTGCCAATGTTCAGGGCAAGGTGAAGAAAGCCAGCCAGGTCCTGTGGGTGAATTGTATTCATCACCACCACCACCACCACCACCCGTGTTGAAGTCCCAGCCTTTACTTAGAAAGAGGCAGTTGTATGTGTAACTAACGGTAGGGTGAAATCGTAGTGGAATGTGGGCACCAATATGACCGCTGCCCTTAAAAGGGGTGCGGGGGGTGGGGGGGCATTTGGGGACTGGGAAGATGGCTCAGTTGGTAAAGCGTTTGCTGCAAAGCATGAGGGCCTGAGTTTGCTCCCTAGCATCTATGTAAAAACCAAACCCAACCAATCAGTGAGGTGGCATGCCGGGAATCCCAGCACCAGGGAGGCAGAGATAAGACTCCTGGGACTCGGTGACCAGCCAGTCTAGACAATTAACAACTCCAGGTTCAGGGAGAGAGGCCCCGACTCATAAAATAAGGTGGAGGGCCCCACAGATAGCACGGCAGTTAAGAGCACCTGGTGCTCTTGCAGAGGACCTGGTTTCATAGGTCAGGCAACTCACAACTGCCTATCACTCTAGCTCCGGTGGATCTGGCACCTTCTTCTGATCTCTGTGGGTACCCATACGCATGTGTCTATACATACATACATACACACACAAACATGCATAATTAAAAACAAAATAAAGCCGGGCATCGGTGACACACGCCTTTAAGCCCAGCACTCGGGAGGCAGAGCCAGGCGGATCTCTGTGAGTTCGAGGCCAGCATGGTCTACAGAGCGAGATTCAGGACAAGCACCAAAACTACACCGAGAAACCCTGTCTCAAAAAAAAAAAAAAAAAAAAAAAAAAAAACCAAAACGAAAAAACAAATCTTCAAAAACAACAGGTGGAGAGCGCTTGAGAAAGACACCAGATGCCAACTTCTGGCCTCTGCATGCATACATATAAACATGTACATATACAAAAGGGGACTGGGATTTGAACCCAAAATACCCAGAGGGCACAGGAAGAGGACACAGTGTAAATGGTAAGGAGAGAGAGACCCTTCCTCACAGCTTTCAGAAGCCAGCCCTGTCCATTTCAAACCTTCAGCACTCAGAACTTTGAGTCTGGGTATAACCACAGTTTCAACTCCCCCATTGGTGAGAGCTGGCTCCAGCGGCCTAGGAAACCATCAGAGTCCCAGGAATAGAAAGAAATCTGAGAACAAGCGAAGGAACCTAGAACTTCTGGGCGAACGGCAAACCTCGTGAAGGGTCTGGTGCTTCCCAGCCACTCCTGTGATACAGGAAAGGGGACCAGGTGGAGGCAGCGCCCACGCTTGCCTCTTTCTTCCAATAAACGCTGGACCGTCCCAGACTGTGCGCCAGAAGTAAGTCAATTTCTGTCTTGCTTCTGACGTATTTTCTTTCCAGCTGAACATAAATGGGACTCATTCACAGCACTGTTCTGATCTTAATTAAGAGCTCTGCTTGCTGGAAAAGGCATGTAGGTACGTCAGCGCCTACCTCTACCCCTACAGCCTAGAGGCTCGACAACGCCGTCCATAGAGGAGCCGCTGAGCAGTCGGGGATGGTCTGATCTCAAGCCCTGGCCCCACGGCGAGAGCTGTGGCCTTACATGGAGGTTTGGGGCTGTCAGAAGCTGGAAGCTGAGCCGTGAAGTCATCGCCAGAAATCTCTCCAGCTGGCTCTGTAGCCCCCACTGCCCTCCCCCGATTCTACTCTTCACTCCCAGAGTCCTCTGCCTCAGTTCCTCCTACCGGCAAATACTAGCTCAGCCTCAGAGTACTCTAGCTGTCTAGTGTCCCTGTTGTCACCTCTCCTCCCAAGGGACTCTGGGTGATACCTTCCTCCCCCTAGTCTTCCAAGGCACCTGCAAGGCTGGGTTCCAGTCACCCTCCGGCCTCAGCTCCTCAATGGCTGCCTGCTCCGCGAGGCCACACAAAATCTGCACGGCTGGCTCCCATATGGCCTTCGGCCCAGTGTCTTGCTCTTGAGTCTCTAACCAGTGCCCCTCCAGGAGCTTCGTGTCTGCCTGAAGCACAGCTAGAGAGAGACGTGACCACTTGAGAGCCCAGCCTTGGCAAGACCTTCACACTCACCCCACCCTGGTTTCTTGAGCGTGGGCCTGGTCCTGCCCTCGGGCCTGGCAGTGACTTCCCAAAGACTCCGGGGTACGCCCAAGGCCCTGGTGTACCTGAGGAGGGGCTCTGATCCCAGATGGTCCCCGTGGGTGCTGCTGCGTGACTAGAAGCTTCTGCCCACTG